TCGCGCCGTTTTGGAGGGCTCTTTACCGCTGTGCGTTGCGCTGCAATCCATTCCTTCCCCGCCCGAGTTCGGCTGCTCGGGAAGGTCAGGAAACCGTCGTCCGCGTCCCGGTCCATTGTGCTCGAGGAGAGGTAAAATGGCCCCCGTGAGCCGCGCGCTGGCGGCGCTTGCGGCAATAGGCAGAGCGAGCGCAGCGGAGCGGCCTCCGGATCTAGCAGAGTATGCAGAGGCTCGGCAGAAAGGATTAACAGGCAGAGTTAGCGCAGCGGAAGGGATTCAAAGGCAGAGCTATGCAGCGGAGCGGCCAGGAGCCTGGGAGGAAGGGGGGGCAGGATGGGGGGGGGAAGTCCTCCTTCCTCCCCCTTTTTTTTTTTTTTTTTTTTGGGGGGCAGGATGGGGGGGGGGAAGTCCTCCTTCCTCCCCCTTCTTCTTTTTTTTTTTTTTTGAAGTGGAGAATCCAGGAAGAGAAACCCTGAAGGGAAAAAGAAAGGGGAAGAAAAAAGGTCAGTGCAAGAAAAAGGACAAAGGAAAGATGAAAGCAAAGGTTTGGCAAAGCCTAAAAACGCTGCTCTCCCTCTTGAGGCAGGAAAAGAACTGGGGATGGGGGTGACTCCCACCACAGGAACAGGAAGTTCTTGGAAGTCCTGCCTCCCTGGAAAGAGGGTGGGAATCACCCACAATCGGATGTCCTCCAGCATCAGAGGGAGAACATCAGGGGAATTAACTCCCCAACAGAAGTGATATGAGTGGATATACTGGGCCCTAAGGGTTACTTAAAAGTGGGGGTGTACTATTGCCCACCTGATCAGACCCTTGAGGCTGATCTTCAGATGGAGAAGGAAGTAAGGGAGGTGACTAAATTATTATACTGGGAGACTTCAACTACCCTCATGTTGACTGGGTAAACACGTGCACGAGTTTTGCTGTAGAAATGCGATTCCTACACAGTTGGTTCCAGAGTGAACCAGAAGGGTAGTGATCTTGGACTTGGTTCTGACTGGGTCTCAAGACTTGGTAAGAGATGTAGAGGTTGTTATATGAATTGGGAACAGTGACCACAATGCTATTAAGTGCAGCATTCAGATCAATGGAGTTACCCTAAAATCCCAAAACTGTAACATTTGATTTCAAAGAGGAAAGTTTACAAAATGAAGGGAATAGTAAAAAGGAAGCTGAAGGGGAAATAGAAGAGAGTCGAATCCCTAGAGGATACTTGGAAGCTATTTAGAACCACACTAATTTAAGCCCAAATAAAATGCATTCCACAGCTTAGGAAAGGCACTGCCAAGTCTAAAAGAAGGCCTGCGTGGTTAACAATGTGAGTCAAGGAAGCTATGAAAAATAAAGAGGCTTCTTTTAAAAAGTGGAAGGTCTGTCCCCAATTAATTGAACAGGAGGGGCCACAAACTCTGGCAAAAAAAAAATGCAAGTAAATAATTAGGCATGCAAAAAGAGATTTTGAGGAGCAGGTTGCTAAAAGCATCAAGACAAACAATAAATATTTTTAAAAATATATTCAGAGCAGGAAAACAGTCAGAGAAGCAGTGGGGCCTTTGGATGACCAAGGAATCAAGGGATTGCTAAAGGAAGATGGGGAGATGGCAGAGAAGCTCAATGACTTTTTTGCTTCTGTGTTCACTGTGGAAAGTATGGGGCATGTACCCATGCCACAGCCCCTATTTTCAGAAAGGGAGTCTGAAGAACTGAGCCAAATTGAGGTGACCAGAGTTGAAGTTCTAGATCTACTGGGGAAATTAAAAACCAATGTCTCAAGTCCTAATGGCACAGGCCCAAGAGTCCTTAAGGAACTCTTCTTATGTTCTTGTTATGTTCTTCAAAAGATGTGATTGGCTAATAGTGGAAATGTGGCAAATCTGCCTTTTCTGTACTATGTGAAACAGTACAGGGGAACTCGGTGTCAAAGCCCTCAAAATTGGAAAAAAAATCCCAAAGAGCCGGAAAAAAGGCAAGCTGAGGTAAATCTCACCAACCAGCAGACAGGAGCTGTTAACAGCACGGTGGTCAGAAAAGAACTGGTGGGCTGTCTGCGCCCCGCCCCTCTGGACATGCGCAGTTGGGGTTCCCTCGCATGTCTCAGGCAGAGGCGCGAAAATTCCATTTAGAGCTTTGTACATCACCGATCAGATCAGCGCAGGCGCACTAGATCACATGGGTGTGATGCACAGAGACCACGACGAAGATCCTTGATTCTGGACTCAAACCTTTACTAAAGAAGAAGTATCTTCATATTGTGTTGGGTCCAGCCAAAGTTTTGGTCAACCATAGGTATTTTCCCTCCTTATTATAGCCCCTGTACCACATAGCTTTTGTCTATGGAGGTCCTGTTATTCCAAGCATATCCCTTTTGGTGGTCCAAAGAAAAACCTTCCTCCCTTTTTCACCAGTTGAAAAGCCAGTTGGATCCAACACACTGCACCCCACCAATATCGATTAGTTTATTTTATAACAAAATTCAGTGGCCAATTAGGCATCCCAACACAAATAAATGAGTGGCAGTTATCCCAGATTCAAAGTTCAATATTACCATCCATATATATAAAAGAAAGTCCTCTCACCATAAAATCAATGCCCAGGCCAAATCCCAGGACTTAGAAACAAGACATTCGGGGAGAGCACTCCTACCATGACATAGATGCTCACTAAGAATGGATTTTCAGAAATTCAACCCCTAAAGGGGTAAAATTTGCTTTACTTCCTATGTGGCTGCCAGGCTGCTGCCTCACTGCACTCCCCACTCTCTGATTGGTCAGCCGCAGAGCTGAGTGTTCTGAGGTAAAAAAACAAAAAAAATAGTTACAGGAGACTGAAGAGAGCTGATAGCTGAGGAAACCAGGAATGGCCAACCACCTGTGAGGTGCAGCAATGCTGCTGGCCCAGCCTCCCCGACGGCTTTAAACATGCTTCCCCCACCTCCTACATCTGACAGGTGGCTGTCTGTCAGGTGCAGCAGCGGGTGCAGGGTGCTTAAAGCCATCAGGGAGCCCGCTCCAGCAGTAATACCTTAGCGATCCTGCTGGCCCAGCCTCCACAATGGCTTGCAATACCCTCTCTCTCCTACACTGGTCAGGGAGCTGCCTGTCAGGGGTAGGAGAGGGGGTGGGATGCTTGTTGGGGAGGCTTGCTCAGCAGGATTGGCTTAGCGCTGCTACTGGCCCAGCCTACCCAATGCCTTTAAACACAGTGCCCCCCAACACCAGACAGGCAGGTGTCTGTCAGGTGTAGAAGCAGGGCCAGGGTACTTTAATCCATCAGGGAGGCTGCCTGAACAAAAACACCTTAGCAATGCTGCTGGGCCAGCCTCTCTAATGGCTTTAGACACACTCACACCCACCCCTCCTCCACCTGACAGGTGGTTGTCTGTCAGGTGCAGGAGCAGGGGCAGAGCACTAAAAGCCATCAGAGAGGCTTCCCAAGCAGCATCACCTTAGCAATCTTGCTGGCCCAGCCTCCCCCAATGCCCTCAGACATGCTACCCCTCCACCTGACAAATAACCACCTGTCAAGGGTTGGAAAGGGAGTGGAGTTCTTAAAGCCGTTGGGGAGGCTTGTTCAGCAGAATTGCCTTAGTGCTGCTGACCCAGCCTACCCAATGCCTTTAAACACAACTCCCCCCTTTTTACACCAGAGAGGCGGGTGTTTGTCAGGTATAGGAGCAGGGCCAGGGTATTTTAATTGATCAGGGAGGCCGCCCCAGAAAGATCACCTTAGTGATGCTGCTGGTCCATCCTCCCAAATGGCTTTAGCCACACTCCCACCCACTATGTAAATATACCCCAAATTTGTAGAAATCTGGTTTCCTGTATTAGGTTATTTAACTTCTCACAATGTGGGTTCTAGCACATTGGTTCATATGAACTTTCTTAACATCTGATTGCTCAGATGTTATTTTGAATATGTAGTTATATCCCACTTCTTAAATGTAACATTAATGAGAAGCATTTTTGAAAGAAAAAGAAGGTATGCCCTGCAACCCCCCCCCAATTCAATGCCAAGGCCAACCCCCTGCACCAAGAAACCCAAAATAAGGGGAGTGCATTCCTACCATGACGTCAACCCCCATTATGAACAGTTTTCGGAGAAACACGACCCCTGAGGGGATAAAAAGGGGGAAAATGTGTCCCCCCAACTGTTTTCCATGTGCCTCACAGGCTGCTGCTTCCTTGTGTCCTGTCCCCCCCCCCCCGATTGGTGAACTGTGTAGCTCAAAGTTCTGAGGTAAAAGCTGTCTGCTTGCACTACAGTCTTCTCCATTAGAATTCCTACAACAAATGTTCCATTTCAAACTTCACATCATCAGTATTATAACTGGATTTACAGAACTTAAATACCGTATGAAAGCACGGGTATCAGACTAGTTATCTATACAACATCTTTTAAAGTTCCATATCATTATATGGCCAAAACCTTCTGTTTGCACAAGAAAAAGGGACTGCTCCTTTGAATGTCCAATTTTCCACTTCTATAATGTCTGGATATTTTATAATTAACCCCTTCAGATCTTGTTTAGCCAACATTAAAACAGTATTTAAGAAAATTCTTTACTTACCTGTCCTGCTCATGGTGTTCAGCCTCATCATTTCCTGCCTCAGGGCACAAACAGAAGCTTCCCGCACTAGGGCTGAAAGGTCTGCTCCCCTGTAAATATGGAAAAATGAAAAGGTCATGAGTCACTTCAAGGTGACATTCCTTATTAAGACAGTTCCAGTATGCCATATAAAATAATTTATTTTCTTATTTTTAATTTACCTTCTATATATTTTGTGTGATATTCCTATTATTCTTAGATAAATTTTTATTGTTGTGACTGGCAGTAAGTAAAACCCATTTCCCCCCCTCTCTCTAAAACTGTTGTCAGAATGTCCCTGCGTGCCCCCTCCTTCCGCCATGACTCAGGAAGCCTCAAAGGGGCCGCTGGGGTCTCAGCGCACAGGTGGAAGGCTTTGGCCAGCCAGCTATAGGCACTTCCTGGAGTCGTAAGTCTCTCTCTCTGTCAATGCTTGTCGTTCTCCCCTGCTCTCCTCCTCACCAACCCCAGCATTCTGGCCTCCTTATGTCCCTTCCTCCCCTCCTTCCCCACTCCCCAGTGGTCCCACTGACTGCCTATCATCCCAGGCTCTCCTCTCAGTGGGTTGGGATACTAGCCCCTTTAAACCCTGTGTTTAAACCTTCCATCCCTGTCTGGAGTGGGGTCAGCATCTCTTGCCAGCCCTCGCTCTCCTCCGCCCCGTCTTGCCAGCAGGGCTCATGTCGGTGCAGGTGGGCTCGGCCCGAGCTGAGAATGTATGCCTTTGAGGCTGTGCTGCCTCCCAGGAGACCCAGCTCCTGCTGCCGTGGCTCCCTGCTGCAGCAACCCTACGGGTCCCCAGGCAGCCATGCGCCATCCCCCCCCCACTGTTCTGTCCTGACCTGGAGCCAGAGACGGCGGGCAAACCCATCCCTGCAGGTCCCTGTGGTGGTGGCACATCGTCCTCTCCCCACTCCTGGACTCTCGGTGCCACGGCAGGTAAGTCCGGTCCTGGACAACCACTTTCTGTGGTGTGGGCTTCCAGTAAAATTATATCCAACCAATTTTTCTTTTAAACCGAAATCTTAACTTGGGTACTCTTAACATCTTAGGTTGTATCCTCTGCTGAGGCTGTCCCCTTATCGCCTTTGTAACATTCATACTCTACACCTTTGTACTTCTGGCATAAGAAGCCATCATATTTTGGATTCTGTAAGACAATTCTGTTGCGCTCGGGTCCCTCACATTTAATGGCACTATAATACAGGATGTCAAAAGTCTGAGGGAGGAAGGAGAGGAACACAATGGAGGCCTGAATCCAGTGACTTAATTCTGGCTCCAAATATATACTGTGGCCCCACACTGATGATTCCCACTGAGGGGCCCTGAAAAGGATAAGAGATAAGGAAAAGGGGTGTGATGAAGCCTGGTAAGTCTACAAAAGTAACTATATTATATTTAGAAACTGCTGTGGTTGTAATTATTGCAGGCTACATCTTTCAAGCTGCTGATTATGATCCAGTTATTATGTTAGAACTAAACTTTGTTTTTACAAGAAGCAGATCTGCCCCTTCTCCAAGCAGCCTGCTGTTTGTGCTAGAAATCCTGTTTGGGGGGGGGGGGTCAGGAGAACCTCACAAACAAAATGTACAACAGTACAGGATGATGCAAAGAGGATGAGGAATCAGGGAAAAATCAGCACCTTCTCCTTCTTCCCCTTGAGGGAGAAGGAAGCAATTTTAACTTATTTCTTATATGTTGCTGCAGCACCTCATAGTGTCAAGCATTTTGTTCACAATGGTTTCCTAACCAACCCTTCCCCCACCAAGGATTGAGCAAACAGCAGGAAACTTGGGGAAGAAGGAGGTAGGGAAAGATCTAATCCATCAAACCTTTCCATGGACTATGGATCAAACCCATAGGTTATACTTGCTCACTGGTCATGTGCTTATAAAACTGCATTGGTTTTATAACAATTGGTTTTATAACATGGCCAGGGTCCGACCTACCTGAGGGACCGCCTTTCCCCATATATACCCCAGAGAGCACTACGGTCTGGGGCCCAACACCGGTTGACCATCCCGGGCCCCAAGGAGGCAAGGCTCACCAGCACTAGGACCAGAGCCTTTTCGGTGGCAGCTCCCCACTGGTGGAATGAGCTCCCGGAGGAGATCAGGGCCCTGCGGGACCTTTTGCAGTTCCGCAGGGCCTGCAAGACGGAGCTCTTCCACCAGGCTTTCCAATAGGAGCCGCCACCACTGTTACCACCAATGGTCCTAGTGACGGCTGGGATCTGAGATCTGGTCCTGGATATCGCTAGGCTCTCCGGCACGAGGGATGATGAGTGGTGTAATAAAGTAGTATGAGATCTGGAAGCGCGCCATCTAATATGTTCTACTGTATGCACTTTAGTAGAAATTGCTAATGTATGTTTTAATGCATTGTTTATGATATTTTTATAGAGTTTTAAGTTTTGTATGTCATTTAGGTACATTGTACCGCAGTGTTAGCCGCCCTGAGCCCACTCGCGGGATGGGCGGGGTACAAATATAATAAATAATAATAATAATAATAGATTTCCTCCATCCCAAATGATTTTTCTCTGGTTTCAAAATCATCACTTCCAAGGGTGGAATGTTTTTGTTGTTGTTCAGTTTCACAGTCGAGTCCGACTCTTCGTGACTCCATGGAACACATCACGCCAGGCCCTCCTGTCTTCTGCCATCCTCCGGAGTTTGCTCAATTTCATGTTCGTTGCATTGATAACACTGTTTAACCATCTCATCCATGGAACTGCTGGTGTATGTGTGTGCATACAGAGCCCTTATGGCTCCCCTGCCAGCAGAAGTGATGGCCAGATGGCAGATGGCCACAAAAACGTGTGTGTGTGTGTGTGTGTCATTGATGATTCCCAAACTTATGGACTCCCTCCCTCAAAAGGCTCAGCTTTAAGAGTTCGGTAGCTTTTCAATAGGCTGATAACCCAACAACACCCTTGACCCTTAGCTGACTTGTAATGTTTGCTATGTTTGTACTGTGGTCCTGCTGTCCCCGCCATTACCAGTTTTAAATTAACTGTATTGATTATCTGTTTTTACACAAATAAACTTGAATTTTGTTGCTGGTTTTGCATGTGTGTGGCTTGTGAGCCATCTTGAGGACTCTCAAGAGACAGAAAGGTGAAGGAGAAATGATAAATGTTTAAAAATCAGCATTGATAAGTTGTACAGGGGTGCCATGGACTACATGAAGCACAGTTGTCCTGGGCCCACCAGAGAACTGAGCACTTCATGTTCAACATCTGGACTTGCCCTCAGGCACATCATGCATACTTCTTGCTGACTGCGCACTGGTGACAACCCGATGACATTTTGGGTGGGGAAACCAGTTTTAGGCAGGGTGAGGGCTGCCAGATTGGCTATCACCAGGTTCTGCTCCATGCTGAAGTTCTTGATGAGGCACACACGGTGGACAACATCACTGCCACCACTGAGAAATAGTAGGGTGGATAGGAAGGGGCTTCTCCGTGGGCTTGAGCGTGACTGATGGCACAAACATGAGGGCAGCGGCACAGGGATTGGGCATCAGGTGTATTTACTTCACAGCCCACCTTCTCCACCTTGTGGTCATGGATGCCTTGGGGCTGGGTTCTGCAGAGAATCCCAATCTGGATGCTGAGACTCATGATTTCCACCATCTCCTCCAGAAATGCCAGCATCTCACAGGTCATTTGTCTCGCAGTGTGAAGGACACCCATCTTCTTTGTGAGAAGCAGGCACTGGAGCACCGTCTGATCAGAGACGTGAACACTCACTGGAACTCCACCTATGCCATGCTCGAGCATTTGGTGGAGCAAAAGAGAGCCCTAATTGCATTGATCTCTCAGACTGGGGTAGTTCGGGAAGAACTCTGGCTCAACCACGATGAGGAACTGATTATCTCTCAGACTGCAGAGGCTCTTAAGCCCTTTAAGAACCACACAAAGTTGCTCTCATCTGACATGGCAAGTCTGGCTCTGGTCATCCTTAGGATTCAAACGGCTCATGAGGGCTTGGCTGCCTTTCTGGAGCCAGCTGCAGGACATGCAGACTTGCTTCCAGTAGTGTGCGCACTGGTAAAAAGGTTGCAAGATGGATGCGAGACTCACCTTCAGCTTCTCACACAGCAGAAGGTCTACATGTTGGTGACCATGTGTGACCCATGCATCAAGAGCAGGATCGCCAAATGGGCTGACCATCTCATTTGCTGGAGAGATGACCTCTCCTGGTGAGTTGAGTGCATGCAGACCAAGAGGGGCATGTTGGCACGAGCAGAGGAAGAGGGGGGCAAAAGCAGCTCCATTGCTGTTCATCCCCCATCTGCCCTACTAGGCAGTGTCCCCCTCCCCGCAACAACTGCCATGGTCACCTTGGAGATGGAACTTGTTGGGTGGGCACTCAGCCCTTTTGGGAGTGAGAGGCGTGTGAGACAGGGTACGGTGGCTGCAATTGTTAGAGAGTGCCTTGCAGAACACTACAAGCTGCAGATCACCAATACACTGAGATACTGGGTCATAAAGGAGGCAGTCTGGCTGGATCTCTCTGCTGTGGCCCAGAGGCCCCTCTCGTGCCCACTGATGAACATGCAGAGTGAGTGAGTTTTATCCCATGTGGGTGACACTGTCAGCCCACATCACTCACACCTGCTACCCTGGACAGTAGTCTTCCTGAAGGATAACTTGCCACTGTTCAACTATCCAGTTCTGGACTTTGAAAAACAGCCACCCATAGACCAGTAGAGCTCCCCCATGGGGTATAATGGATAAAAACAAAAATTGGATTCCCCCCCCCCCCCCCCCAATCCCACCACCACCACGGCAAGGGGACCTTGGGAATATTAGGAATACCAATATTTTTTGGGTCCTATATACAAAATACTGATTTTTTTCATACACTGTTAGTCCCTGCTAATGAAGATGAATAAAAATGAATAACTGCTATGGGAAGACGTTAAAAGGAAAGACTCACGTGTAATAGTTACAGCGAGGATCATGAGCTATTTCTTCAAGGTCCACATCAACATCAAATGGGGGGCGTGTTCCATCCTACAGAAGACAAGAAGGTGTTTAAATATATGGAGCACCAAATACCCTTATGCATCTAGGGCTTGCTGTTTAAATATAAGGAGCAGTAGAATCACGAACAAATCTATAGTCAAAACATGCAATAATAGTTATATAGGAATTATATAGGAACCAAGGTCAATTTTACCAAACTCATATATATTGTAGAATCATAAATGTAGTAAAGAGCAATTATCAAAAAGTGGGTGGTAACAAACTCAAACCCACAGTAAGTCATAGCATACCTCTAAAGCAGCAGACTTCCTTCATTAAGAAAACAAACACAAAAGAAAAGCATTGCTTATATAAATTTCATAAGTCCTTGAATTGAAGTCCAAACATCTGTATATTGTGGCTTGTAAAAAATAGGATCCGTTCTAAGTGGAAACGACACAGTTCCAGATAGTCAGCATTTCAGACCTGTTCCTTCATCATGTAAATCAGGTAAGTCTTCATTGACGTACAGTAAACATAAACCAAACATAAAGCTGCTGAGCCTAAATGGGATATTTTGATCGGGACCTCATTTGTACATGTATGTTTACTGTACGTCAATTAAGGCTTACTTGATTTATCTGAAGAAAGAACCGGTCCGAAGCACTGACTACCTGGAACTGTGTAGTTTTTGATAATTGCTCTTTACAACATTTATGATTTTACAATAATATATATATGAGTTTGGTAAAATTGACTTTGGTTCCTATATCATTATTATTGCATGTACTTAGTGTCTTTTGACTACAGATTTATTTGTGATTCTACTGGTTGTTTTTCTGTAGCCCCCCTCCCTCTTGCTAGATATAAGGAGTACCAAATGCTATTATTCGTCTAGGGCTTGCCTACAGTGCTCTGGAATCAAAACGGAATATTCATATATCTACTCCCAAAACTTTTTAGTACACGCAGTTCTTAAATTGCTGATGGCCAGATCAGACAAGACAGAGCTTCTGGATCCAGCACTGTTTAATTAGCCATTTCAGGTGCACACAGAATCTGATTAGGACTGGAGATGAAAAGAGAGGGGGGTTAATGCTTGCATCCCTGTACATTTCTACCACTAACAAGTGTCCTCCCCCATGCTACTATTCTCTGTGGATAGGAAGAAAGATGTGCTCTTGTCTTTTTTTTCCCCCACTGACTTGTCACACTTGAACTAAAAAAAGTTCTGATCAAATCCTTTACTTTTCTCCCAGCAAAGCATTCCAGAAATATTCACAAATATCTGCTATAATCAAGGCTACAGCGTTGTTTTAGAAGTAAAGGCCAGATATTATAATACAGTTTGTATCCTGATAACAGATTTTGAAAACAAAACTCACAATGCCATCCTAAGCAGAGTTACACCTTTTACTTCAACAGAAGCATGTAAAATCCAAAATCGTAACATTTGATTTCAAAAGAAGCAACTTTACAAAATTGAGGGGAATAGTTAAAAGGAAGCTGAAAGGGAAACACAAGAGAGTCAACCCCTTAGAAGATGCTTGGAAACTAATTAAAATCACACTGACTAAAAGCCCAGATAGAATGCATTCTCCAGGTTAAGAAAGGCACTGTCCAGTCTAAAAGAACATGGTAAATCCATGTTAAGTCAAGAAACTATAAAATGCAAAAAGACTTCTTGATTCTGGTTGATTGTTTCCTCTTCTTTAAAAACTAGAGTAGTCTCTCTCATGTTTATCACTGCTCAGACTTGGGTATTGCATTTTTCATCACTGTATTCTAAGTTGAAGTGTGATGACAGTCTAGATGCCACAGTGTCTCTTCATCTTCCAGAATGTCAGTCCTGTGTTAAGATATAGCGAACCTTATTAAAGGACTCCATACTCAGAAGGCAACAGGCCCTGTTGGTATTCCAGCTGAATTTATTATTAATATCATGGACTGGTGGGTGCCTCTTTTGGATAATCTTTTTACTAGAGTGAACTCTACTGGTGTGATTCCTCCTGAATGGTGTCCATAAAGCTAGAGATATGGATAGTCCTAAGAACTTTCAACCTATTAGTTTGTTGTCATTTATAGGTAAGATCTATGCAGCATTTTTGCTGAGCAGATTTAAGTCTTGGATGGCTGATTCCAAAATCATTGGCCCAGAACAGGTGGGATTACGTAAGGGACACAGTACATTTGATCACTGTCATATGTTATCCCACTTGATTAGTAAGTATGCCATTTCGAGGAACAGCTTTTTATATGCAGCCTTCATAGATCTTTCCTACGCATTCAATTCCATATCTAGAAATTATATATGGGCTAAACTGAAGCAAACCACAATTGACAGGAGATTGTTGTGGTTAATTAAAAATCTGTATATGGATTCTACTGCCCAGGTGCAGTGTAATAGTGACGTCACTTAACTAATTCATTCCCCTTTGTCCAGGGGGTCAGCAGACGTGCCTTTCAGCACCATCTTTATTTAGTTTGTATTCGTCTGATTTGCCAGGCTTTTCTAAGTGATCCTTTTTTGCGTTCACCTAAATGACTGGATGTTTCAGTGCCCTCTTTTACTTTACACAGACGACTCACTCTTACTTTCCTGAACCTGGGTCAATCTTCTTTGGGCTTCAAAAAGGTTCCATACTTATAGTTGGCATGAGGAATTATCTACCTAGGCAGGGAGCGTGGGATATTATTAAATAAACATATACATATTAATTTTACTAAAACTAAAATTATTAAGTTTCCATTCCGCTCTTCAACCATAGGAGAGACATGGATAGTAAATTGGTGGAAGACCTCACAGGCTTCCTCTTTTAAGTATCTGGGTATTTTATTTAATTCTACCTTGTCCTGGAGATGTCATAAACAATTGGTCACTCAGTAATCTATGGCTACTATGAAGGGAATTTTGTGTTTCTTTTTTCTAACGGGACACATTATATTCCAGTTGCTATTATCTGTCTGCCTGTCTATCTCGACTTATATTCTGCCCTCTCCTAGGGTTGCCAAATCTGGATCGTCCGGGAGCGGGGGGCTCCCGGACGATCCCGGGTGTGTGTGCGCGCGCAGCGTGCGCGTCACCCGGAAGTGACGTCGCACGCTGGGGGCGGGGCCACGCGATTTGAGGGGAAAACAAAGAGTTCCCCCTCAAATCGCGTGGCCCCGCCCCCAGCGTGTGACGTCACTTCCGGGTGACGCGCACGCGGGGGTGGGGTTTCCCCCGAGCCCCGATTCCGGCGCGCTGGGAATCGGGGCTCCGAAACGGGAGATTCCCCGCCCCCCCGGCTGCATTTGGCAGCCCTACCCTCTCCGCAAGCGGGCTCAGAACGGATCATAACGGCAGTTTTACAAAGTCATTTAAAAATCATAGTAATTAAACAGTTAAAACTATTAAAACAAAAGGCACACTAATTTATAAAAACTATAAACAGAAAGATGCAATAAATTCAAATGACTACAGCAGCTAGGCCGGAACCCTTAGTCTGGGCTGTTCAGAAATGGAAAGCTTCAGAAAGGGAGGCCGAATAATTGGATGCCTGCCACCTCACCCAAAGGCCTGGCAGAACAGCTCCATTTTGCAGGCCCTGTGGAACTGTAATAAGTTCCACAGGGACCTGAGCTCAGACGGGAGCATGTTCCACCAGGCCGGGGCTAGGGCAGAGAAAGCCCTGGCCCTGACTGAGGCTAAGCAGATAACTTTATATGACAATAAAGGTAGCTGAACTGGAAAGCAGATGACTTTTGGACTGAGGACAACCAGCAAATGCTGGTCCGTCGAGCATAAGGCTCTCTGGGGCACATATTAGCGTTTTTAACTTAATGGTGATCTCACAACTTTTGTATGGTATTCCCATATGGATTTCTGTTGTAGACAATTCTATACAGTACAGTCCTTGTTCCTCCAGGCAATTGGAGGGCTCCCTGGTGAATTTCATTGTCGGTCCTTCGTTTTGAATTTGGCCTTAGCTCTACAGAAGCCTGTGCTTGGATACGTGCCTTTAATTTTTGGTTTCATCTATTTTTTGAGGCCCCAGAAGATAATTTAGTAAACCTAATCCTCAGGGGATTTTATAAGGTTCCCTGGCTCCAGCTTTTTGAACAGAAGCTATCTCTTGTAAATCTTAAGGCTGAAGATCTTTTTTCTTCCTCTATTAGGATTGCCAGCTCCCCAGTGGGTCAAGTAACGAATAAAAATACACTGCAAGAACCTTTTGTAAATTAATGTGTACTGTTTATAACTATTTTTCTATAAAGTACATTGTGTACTATCATAACATCCTTGTCAGGTATATTCAGTATAGCAATAACGTTTATTCATTCAATTTAACAACTACCAGTCAATTTAGCATCAGTATTTTAAAAGTCAAGCCCCAACAGGAGTTTCCAGAATTACAAGCCTGCGGGAAAGCTCTCATTTATAGTTGTGTTGATGCTTATTGCTGGTCCTACAAAAGACACATTGTGCAGCTAAAATTCATGGATTGAGTGCTCCTGTCATTCTCAAGGCTGCAATGAATGTTACTGCTATACTGAATGTACTGAATATATGTACCTGACTAGGATGTTATAATAGTACACAATGCACTGTTATAATAGTACGCAATCTACAATGCACAGTACACGTTAATTTACAAAAAGTTCTTGCAGTTTATATTTATTCATTACTTGACTCTCCTAACACGGCAGCTGAGTTTGCTATAGCTCCCCAGTGGGAGCAGGGGAACCCCTGCTTTTAAAAATAATTTATTTATACATTTCCCCATAATTTACAACCGTTTGCTGAAAACTCTCTTTATCTTTTTGGAGTCTTTTTAAATCGTATTATTTCCCCACCATTTGTACACTTTTGACCATCTTTTTTGAAATAAAGTTTCATCTTTTCCCTGTATTAACATTCCAAGCTATTTCTTGTCTAGAAGGCAACTTTTCGTTTTTCCAGTATCGAGCAAGTAATATTCTTTATGAAGTTAGGATATAAGTTAACAGATATCTATCTATCTTTTAGCTCATAACAATCTGGAATAATGTTTAATAGATATATTTCT